CAGTTCCTTATTTTAACACTGATCAAACGTCGAATACAACATCATCGTCGTCGTCTTATTTCAACAGCTATAATCATAATCAAATTTCTGAAATTGTTATCAACCACTATGACTAGCATTAATATCATGTCAAACTGGTTGGTTTTGGATGTTGTGTCTATGATTACAACATCATAATATCGTTCATAAGCACTAGTTTGATCAGAAGCCATCCAGAACAATGAGTTAAGTCATCTTTCCTCTGAATCAAAACGTGGTTTGACTATCCACATTGGATCTTTTTCTCTCTTTGAATATAAGTCATTGAGCATTCTACATGCATCATTTTTACTAGGTTTTACCTGACATTTAAACTGCTGAATTGTATTACTTAAATCCTTCTTATTAATAACTTGGCCCGAAAATGACTGAACTAACAAATTATATTGGGTTGGTAAGCCTAATTTTTCATGAATAGTCCAAAATTTAATTTTTTCAGACATTTCATATGTTAACTTTTGATATTTTGGTGCCGTTTTAGTAACAAGTGGGTTCATTTCGTGATTGTGTTCACCTAAAATACTGTTAATATAAACATTTTTCTCTGTTTTAGGAAATGCCAAATTAATGTGTCAAGAACAATTGATCATTTCAGAATCTCTGTCTATCCTATCTTCTGCCAGAATAGCCTTTTCAGGTTCATATATCCGAGCATGTGAACATTCATATGTATGCCGTCTTGTTATAGTCTTGTCATCAGAGTCAACAACCCGTCTTCTTTTTTGAAAGCTGAACCCCTCCTGCTTCGCATAATCAGTAAGATATGATTCAGCAAGTTTCTAGGTATTAAACTTCATTCCTTTACGTAACACTAATAAATTATTTTTTCCTTCTTCCTCATTTTCACTATATTCCTCATTTTCACTATATTCATACTCATTAACTTCCCTCTCATCATAAATCCCATTATCCGCACTTTCTGGTTGAGCCTCAACATCCGATTCAGTTAACGTATCATTACTTTGAATATTAACATAGGTTGACATAGCACTATCATATTCATAGGGGCCGGGATAAGGTGACAATGAGGTATTTATATTATCGTAATGCTCATAAGCATTTGGATAAAACGACGAAACGTTTGCAATATTATGTTTATAGCTAAAATAGGGTAAGAAGGTGTTTGCATCATCAAGTTTGTATGTATTAAAACAAGCCGACGAAAAATTGGTTGTAATATCCTGTTCGCAATTGCTGGACGATGAGCTATTTATTTGATCATGATTATAGCTGTTGAAATAAGACGACGACGATGATGTTGTATTCGACGTTTGATCAGTGTTAAAATAAGGAACTG